ATTAGGTAAATATGCTAGAATCAGTTTTTCTGTTTACGAGTACTACTGTATTCTTATGTTTCCAGAAGTTTGATAAACAAGAGAAAGCTTAATTTATCATCTATTTCCATTTGATTATATTTCCGATTTTCTATTGAAAATGATTTTTCAAATTTTGAAGTACACTGGTTGGTGTATGCCGAAAACAGCGCGGACGAAAACGTCGCGGAGAAAACAACGCAAACATGTCAGTTCTAAACATCGTAACTACAAAATATCGTCGTCAAAAATAAAGCGGCTCTAAAACTTCGCAGTTTAAAAACATCGTTGTCGAAAATATCGTGGTAAAAAATAAAGTATCTATAAATCATCGCATGACGATAACATCGCAGACATGCGTTTTTCAGGCTTTAATAATTGTGAAAGGATAATGATTTGTGAGCACAAGAGGGAAAGAAGATTAATTTTTATTTTCATAATAATTTTTATTATTAACTAATAAATATTTGCTAAAAATGTCAAATGGAAACTTAAGCGTAGAAAATTAATGCAACTTATAAGCACTTAATAGAATTTTAACTGACATAGTTAACTAACAAAGGTCATTAATAAATTATTTTTTATAAAGTTTTATTGGTAATTTTTCATGAAAAGTATAATCTAAAAAGGATTAGAAAAAGGAAGATGAGTAACTGCATGCCCTGATCTATAACAAAATTGCTAAGTTAATTATAAGATTATTTTCTTCACTTTTGTTAATCTGATACTCTTATAGTGGAAATTATTATTTTTTTTTTTTGCTTAAATTTCTTGTTTAAATTTTCATAAAATTCATTTTTCATTTATTAGTTAATAAAAATATGAAAGTAAAAATTTTCCTTCTTTCCATCTTGAGCTCACAAATCATTATACGAATATCCATTTACAATTATGAAAGCCTGAAAAATGCATGTCTGCGATGTATCGCCATGAGATGATTTGTAAGCACTTTTTTTTTACCACGATATTTTCGACGACGATGTTTTTAAACTGCGAAATTTTTTAACCGCTTTATTTTCGACGATGATATTTTGTACCACGATGTTTTAGAACTGCGATGTTTTCTCTTTGCGATGTTTTGTGCCATGACGTTTTCGCTCTGCGTTGTTTTCTCCGCCACGTTTTCGCTTTGCGTTGTTTTCTCCGCCACGTTTTCACTTTGCGTTGTTTTCTCCGCCACGTTTTCGTTCGCGATGTTTTCGGTTGTAACCATTAATTAAGGAAAAATCACAAAAAATTATTATTCAAAAAGTTACATGTAGTATTTAAGGAAACTGAACCTCAATATACAATGCACAGTAAGGTATAAAATAATATGAAATGAAATTACCAGACAAATATCAACAAATGCAACAACAGTGCAAAGTTACGATAACAAGACAGGACAGGAATAAGTGGACTGTCCGAGTGATTTAAGACACTGGTTTTAAACACTATGCTCTTTGGAGGGGAGAGATCAAATTCCATCATCTAAATTTTGCATTAGCTATCCAAGACTCAGTAAATTGATATTAGACAAGTGGTCCAAATTGAAGAAACCTTTTGGCAAAAATGAAGCTTTGAGGTTAGACGGATCGAAAGACCCTTCTTTTTAAAGTAATACTATGAAATTACGTATCATTGTAAAGATAATTTAACCCTTTTCGGCACGCTACTCTTTAAAGTTGGAATTTTAGCAAAAACATTCGTAGGCAGTCTGTTTAGACCTAGGAGAGTATGCAGGTATAATTTTACAAAGATTGCACAAACCGTTTCCATTTTGTGGGTGTGTCCGAAGCGAACACACTGAGCCGCACGAGCTGCGATAGGTGAGCATTGCTGTGAAGCACGCATTACAGTAAAATACTTTGTCTATGATTTAAAAACAGTAGAATCTGATCTCTGTAGCAGATTTAGCATAACCCAGGGTGCAGCACGGGAAGGCCTTCTACTCTACACCCCCCCAAAAAAAACCGGGGGGGGAAGGAAACTCTCATTGCTTCGGCAATGCTGAAGCCTCTCCGAAGCCATTTACACAATTTTAAAATTTATAAGAAAAATAATTAAAATACTATAATATTTACAATTAATTATTGACTAGGAAAATATAATTATTAAATATATATACAAATAAAAATCTACTGAAATCAAAACTAAGCAAACTACGCACGATGAAAGCAAGAGAAAAAAAGGGTCTGCTCTCGCTGAAAATCAAATAGCTAAGCGAAAACAAAACACCGGGGTCTTCAAAACCAAAAACAGAAAAGAATAACAAATATAAATGAATCTGTGCTTTCAGCCTTCCCCGTGTTTGAAGCACGAGACCAGATTCTGTGACTCACTCCCACGTGACAGGCGCTACCAGTACAGTGTGTTCAGTCCGAACACACCATACACTGAAGGCTTCACTATATGCAATATTTTAAAGATAAATATTAAAAGTAATACAAAATAGGCAGATTAGCATACGAACAACAAAATTATAAAGATTTTTTCATTGATATTCTTTATATTTAAAAAAAAAATCTGAAACATTTCTTTGAAAAATCAGTGTCTTTAAAAACTGAATATATCTCAACGTTAATGATTTGCCGTCTATTATTCATAAAAGAGATTAAAAGTAACCATTAGTGGAGTTTTCGTGATATTTATCGATTATTTTCAGTGTCTAAAGAGGGAATATTTTTTGTGTGTTCACACCGAACACACTGCGCCGGAAAGGGTTATATCAATATTATATCCAAATAATCAGATAAAAGAAATATAACTTGCTTAGGTTATCTTAAATATCTGTTTACTCTTATCTATCGTGTTGAATATGTTAAAATATTTACTTAAATTTACTGAAAAGTTATGCATATGAGTTTTATACTGTGCCCAGAGGGGCGCGTATAACATTTTCAGCCAGATGAAGAAATAGCTAGGTAAGACTCTGAGAGGTAATAAAATGTGCAATTACTTTACTATTGTAAAGTATTGATGTTGACATATATTTCAATTGTTAACAAAAGTACAAGAGATCGGCTAAAAAATGAAATGTTTAACTTTTAGATTTCAAGAAAATGGCACTAAAACAATGTTGTCAAGAGAACAGACAAGTTCAAAAAACTTTTATGTCGTATTTAGTTAAGCTATGTTATTTAATCTGGGTCTGGATAGTAAATTTAAAGTCTGGCCTCTACTACAAAGAGTAATCACCAGTAGATATCTTGGTTCTTGGGCTCTTACTTTATTTTTTTTTCAATTAAAGGCACACTGTCTTGTGTGCCGCATCGTGGGGACGAAAAAACTAAGAAACACAGGTGGCAAGTCAGGAAAATCATTCCTTCGTGAAAGTTCAAGCATGTAAACAAAAATGCTGAAATTAGTCCATTTAAGCAATAATGCCTTCGTAAATACATGAATGCTGAAGTCTTACACACAGTTAGCAGCTACGCCCAGCGTGCATAGAGCAGGAGAAACAAGTACATCGTAAAGTCACATGACATAAAGTCAAATTCAGATTGATCCTTGCTTTAAGCAGAGCGGTTATGATGATGAGACGCAAAACGCTGATATCAAAAATACATGTAATTAAAAAAAAATAGCTGGGATTATTCTAACTGAACTTCAGAGAGTAAGTAATTTTCACGTTCGTAAACATTTAAATGGCTTTGCAAATTCAAAGTCCGTTGAAGAAACACGAAAAGCACATTTTAAAATAACACCAAACTTGGCTATACACAAAAACGCTGCACAGTTCGCTTTGTGAAGATGATTTATAAAAATCACAAAGTCCTTGGTGCAAAACACTAAACACAAACTAGACAAAAAAAGTGAGTAAATAAGATACGAAAAAAAAAATTCGAAATATTTACATTATGTACATCACCACCATTGTGGGTTGTGGTGGATTTCCATAGCTTGCACCATGCATCTATTTCATTAATTTGGTACTTCAGCTTGTCTACAGCATTTCGAGGGTTCAGGGAGTTAGTTAAAACCACGGTGTCATCAGCATACTTTTAAACAGTTGAAGAGAAAGGCTGAGGCATGTCATTGACAAAAATGCAAAATAATTTTGGTGAAAGTACGCTTCCCTGTGGGACGCCTTTGTACATTACTTTCTTGCTGGAGAGAGAATCACCGCATCTAACTTGAAAAGTTCCTCTTTTAAGAAATGGAATAATCAGTTTTAGAAAGCTATTAGGACGTATGCAGTTTGAAAGCTTGTACACAAGTCCTGCATTCCACACTCGATCGAAAGATTTTTCGAAATCGAAGTAACATGCAGCGACTGCGGTCTTTTTCTGGAAATTTAGAGCAATATATTCTATTAAGTTTAGGATTTGGTGTGTGGTAGAATGATGTTATTTAAAAAATGCAATAGGCTATTTAAATGTTCAAACACAATTATCTCAGAACCAATTAGTTGGATGTATACTGTTGATATGTTCTTAAATTTTTGGATTTATATTTAAAGTTCTGAGAATGTAATAGGAAATGTAAATATTATTTTACAGTTTGTGAACTTCACCCTAAAAATAACAACTTTTCGAATTGTTTGTAAAACTGCAGTCATCAAACGAGTAAAATATCACACTTTCTCTTTTCATATTTGCCCTTGCCGATAAACATTTCATGATAAATTCTCATAATATTTTTAAATTTAGTAGCAGTCTATCTGCAAATGCTTTGAACTCTATACCTTACCCATCCCTTGTTTTTCTGAGACGCAAACTGGAATAGACTTTCCAATATACGTAATCTTTAAGAGCTCAGTCACGTGTAGTCGTCCAAAAATGTGGGGACTAGTCAAATATGTGTCTGGGATATACGTCGTCAGCTACTTAGTCATTATTCTGCGATCAACAAATAACGCATTATGGTGAATAAGGTCACTCAAGAAATTGGCCAATGTGCCAGTCAATGGAAAAAAAGGACAAAGGTCAAACAGATACTGTTCTTTTCATCTCCCATAAAAACGAGAATGATAGGGAACTTCAGTTTTTATGCATTTCCTTGACCTGCAGAAATAGCTCTTTCTTACCGCGACGTGTATTTTCGATTTGATAAGATTACCCTTTAATCTCCTGGAGAGTTCTTTAAATCTGCGAAAGCTTCTTATATATTAGGTAGCTTTTTTATCTTCCCGCTTTAGAAGTTTGATACGAATGTATCAAGAGAGCACGGCATCTTCCTTCTGTACGACGGTGGAATAACAAATATTGTTGTTGAGTCATAAATTATTGCTAAAATCATTAACGATTTTAGATATATTCACTCTCTGTTATCTAATCAAGCATATTTATCGATTTATAAAAATCTGTTGTAAGATAACTTTGATCTGATTTACTTAACGTATATTTTGGTTTCCTTAGAGTTAGTGCATTACCATTTCTTACATTACATAAATTTATTTCTTGCTTTAAACAATGAAAGTTTCTGTTCGAATTCGGGGTGAATGGTTCGCTGTCCCTTGTAACAAGAGCAATACGACGATAGGATGGATTGGGGAAGAAGCTCTTCGCAGATATCAGAAACTGAAACCTAAAGGTTATCATGTATCTGGTAGAGAGGAACGTATCTATCAAATCCGAAAGACGAAGGGAGGCGCTATCTTGGATCCAGATGACGATGTGAGCATCGTCCTTGATGATAATGATTTTCTATCAGTAGGTAAGTTTCAACAAACTTCCCATCCAATATTTATGCTAAATGTTGTTTTAGATTAGCACTGAGAAAAACTGATTGAATAGATCTGTTGTTTTATTATCGGTAAAGTTATTACCTTATTACCAGTTTGTAATTAATGTGTTTATAAGAAACCAGTAATATATATTTAGTTAAAATTTACCATTAGAATGGAAAAATAGGAGGAATATAATATAATAAGTACGAATCTTACAAACTAAATATTTATTTTTAATGTCTACCTGTCTTTTAACGTCAAACTTACTAACTATTTATTTTTTAATTATACTTTATGGAAGCAACATATGTGTGTTATTTAAGTAATAACACAGCAGTAATTATATACTAAGAGAGTGGTATATAATTATTGCTGTCCTTTTGTATTATATAATCATATGTTACTATATAAAGCATGGCAGTAAGTTAGACATAATTTAATTTTGTTACATAACACATAGCGTTATGTTTAACTTAATGCAGCAAATATTTATAAAAAATATGAAATTATAATGAATAAAACTAACTAGTAGTTTTCAATAATCAAAATTATCGTTTGTTATTCTTTTGAAGTTGTCAGGGAGTTCGTAATAAAATGTTGCTAAGAAATTGCTTATTACGTTTTAAATAATAAAATAAATTTCTCTGACTTTCTTTTTTTTGTATAGTTTTGGAGACAGACAAAGCAAGTCCAGTTACAGGACCAGCGGAGATTCATTATGTACCAGAACAAGTGTATCCTTTCAATATTAATTTTCCCTGCAATTCTAAATTTGGCATTCAAATAAATTTTATATCACATTATTATAATTGTATAGTTTAAATCTGTTTTATGAAAGAAAACAAAATTTCAGTTTCGAAGAAAGAAATTGAGACGGTAAAAAGCAATAGTTCTTAAATTCAAAGAAAAACGAGAAGTATTTAAACATTAGCTGTATATCATCAAAGAGTCACACGCTTAATATATAGAATATTAAATACTGCTTAGAATTTTATATATCATATCAACTGTCAGAAATAAAAAAAGATTGAGGTTCTTTAAAATCAGAGCATTTCACGCAAATATGTAGTCTCTATAGTGGTATCAGAGAAGTAATTACATTGCTACAGCAAGAAAATAAATAAATAATCAAAGTAAATAATAACAATTGTTGAAAGAGAATATACTGTTATAAAATACTGATGTATCCTGTTAGTCATTAGTATCAATAATATTTAAAAATTATTATCTCTTACGCAGTGTACAACATACTTGATCTAATATCTGTCTCATAATTAAGGACATCTTTTACTAATCGCTGACCCAGTTTTCACGATTTTAGGTAATTTACCAGTATAATGTTTATTAAGAGGCAAAATATCATGTTATGAGCACATTTTAAGAAACATTAAAGCAAGTTTTTAGCTGGTACTGACAAATTTCATATTACTGCTGTTATTTAACATTTTATCTGTTGCTAAATCGAACTATGCTTTTAAGGTATTAGCTATTTTAATAAACTTTACTATCATTTATTAATTATATATATTTTGATGATCAATTATACAAATTAAAGATTCTTCAAATTAGTTTATAACTTATGTTTAATATATGTAAATAAATTAATAGTTAAAAGTAATAATTTAACTATAATAATTTAGTTATGTAAATAGCTCACAATGGCGTTAATGAGGACTGGATCTCTGAGTAGGATGAAATATATTTATTTTATAATAAATTAAAGGAACTCGTATTCATTAAAATTTATACTATTATTTGATAGATTTGTATAGGTAAAGAAAAATGAAGCTATATTCGTTTTATTCTCTTTTTCAAACCTTTGGTATTTCTCTTCGAATACAGTTAATCATAATGAAGATATCTTTTATTTTCACATTTTGTCATAAAATATTCCATTTAAGATTAATTTTATTAGTTATTTCTTTGCTAGATATATACATAATCATTATTTTATACCGAATTAAAACTGAAAGATTATTAATTTGGTGGTCATAACATTATAATCTATTTTATTTTTCATTATAATGCGAATTCGTAGTTGAAGGCACCATATTAAATTGCAGTGATAATATTAACAATAAAAAAGAAGAAAAGGCGGGGAATTAGGAAATAAGTGTACAAAAACCTTTTGATTTGTGTTTCAAGCTCTCTTATTGATTTGAAAATTTTCAGCAAACTATGCATGTAAAATAAATTAAGTATGAGCCTATGAAGAAATAAATGTGACAGAATTAAAAAATACCAGAAAATATCAGTTTTGATATTTATATGAACCAAATCCTTTTACGAACTTTAGGATTCTGTTATGAATAAGGTTGTTTTGCAATATAATTATTTATATAGCCCCTTTTCCTCACATTATTGTGTACGTTTATGAGGTAATTTCTTCTTCCTTACGGTGCCTTCGTGAAGTAAGTGGTAGCACATGAGGCAAGTAATCGGTAAGTTCACAGATAAAATCCTGGCTAGTGTAACGCTGATTTCTGACGTTTCATGCTTGTAAACAGAATCCAAAAAGACTGTCCATTGTGCCCGACTAAAATATGGTGAACGACAATTCGTCACCAATCTGTAAACAACAATTTGGTTCTTCTCCTTCCCCAGTCACCTTTTTCAGTGAAGGAGTATGTAAAGAATTTTCTGCTCCACACATTTTCTTGAGTAACAGCTTGTTACTACACACATTTATATTTAAGTATTTATAAATGTTCTTTATAAAATGCTAGAATTTTGTATATATTTATGATTTCTTTCTTTTCCTTCCTTTTCCTTTTGTCCGCCTTTTTTTTGTAAAATCTCAGTTTTCCTTTAACGTTTACTGTTATCAGTCCAGGAAAATTTAAAATTCCTTCTGAGGTAAGTATATACTTAATAATGCACCTAAATTACTTTCAAATTTATTTTATATTAATCTACACTTCCTTAACTGTTATTGTACTAATTAGTTAAATTTGTTGTTGTTTCAGTTCCTCGTGTTGGATGGTTTCAATCTTTCCCCAGAAGATTTGTTAAAACTTGGAAAAGGAATGTTTAAAATTAAAGTAAGTGTTACACAGCGATAGTTTAGAATGCCTGCAAGCACAAACTTAGATATTATTTCATTATTAAATAAAACTGATATAGAAGAAGGGATTTATATCTAAACTGATTTAGTTAAATCTCCAGATTTTTTGGACGTGAATGATTAGATGCGTAATTTGGAAAATATTAAATTTTGGGTTTAAAATAACCATAAAAAAGACAACAAAAAAGCGTCGTTCTTTTGATATAATGTATCACATGTTTTGATATAATGTTTTGATATAAATATCACACCAGGGAAGTGCTTTCAAACAAATTAATAGTTTTAATAAAGTAGTCTTACAGAAGTCATGTATTTTGTTACATTTCTTACTTAAATTTTAGTAAGCTTCATTAATCATATATTTTGAACTTAAATTTACATTATAATATGATAGTTTTACAAGTTTATTTAGAACTTAATTGTTTTGTTAAATCATTTAAGACGTATTGAATTTCTCTTTACTTATTGATTTATTTCATTTCAGTTGAGCATTGACTCGCAGGCGAGAATCAACCGCTCAAGACAGTTACTAGAAACCATTCTTAAAGAAAATCGAGTAGCATATGGCGTCAATACAGGCTTTGGAAAATTTGCAACCACTGTGATCAGCGATGAGAAATTAATGTAAGATAATTTTTTTTTCATTTTGAAATATCATAAAAAGCATTTTATGCTCAAAACTAAACAGTAATACAATTTGCATTCTAGGTAGATTTGAATTAATTGAAATTCTGTCGATTTCGAGGGTAAAGAAGTACAAGTCCCTCTTCGTCGGAAGGAAAAAAAATTCTGCCATTCTGAGCAGAGCTTTTTCTCTTAACAAAGAGGAACCTACACTAAACACAAACTGTTACTTAAAATCTACACTAAACACAAACTGTTATCTTGCTTAATTATAAGTTTTATTTTGGCATGTTTCTCTTTTCTCGAGTTATTTGTAATTTATTAAATCGAAATAAGGGCTAAGAAATGAAATTTTATCTTTGCACTTTGCAGTTTTACTTACATTTATAAACTATTTCTAAGAACTACAAGTTTTTATACAATAATTTATTAAGTATTAATTTAATCCACATTAATGCTACTCTCTTGTTTTACAGACAATTGCAGGAAAATCTCATTAGATCTCACTCAGCAGGTATGTATCCATCAGAAGTTTTAATATTAAAAATTATGAGCTTATTTCATTTGCAAAATTATTTTGTTTATTCTGTACGTATATATTATTCATTAGGAAAACATATATGAGAATAACGCCGTGTTGTTAAGACACCTAAAAAAATCAAATCAGTTTAGAATACGGTCTAGCTTGCTTGGCTATGTTTCTTGGTTTTTCCGACATGGAACATTTATATTACCCAGTTTCTCTGAGAAAGTACTCATTCCTGTTTTTAGGCAGGTAGCCCTTATGTACTTTGCCACATCCAAATAAATAGCTCTCAAAATACTTCTCATTAAAAAATAAAAGTGATTCTGTTTCATATCCGATAAAGGTAACTGGATAGCCTAAATGAATTTCATTATTGTTCCAAGAGTACGAGTAATACAAACTGCTATTTCTTCTGTAAAAATACTTCTGTGAAAATATTCATGACGCAGTAATTTTAAAGTGTTGATAAAAATAAATAGTTAAATGGAATATCATGAATTGCAATCCAGTTTACAAATATGGCCTTTCTGTATGAAGGGATGAAATGTCTTAGCTTTTCTAAATTAGTGAAAATTTCTAAAATGTATAAATAACATAAAAAGGCGTTATACAAAAAATAAACGGAATATTCTTAATGATGGCAAAATATTATTAAAATACACTTAAAATAAATACATAATATTGCAACTTAATTTACATAAAAGTAAGTAAGGTATTTTTAATAACGTAGGAAAAAAATTATATGAAACGCCAGTCTTGTGCACTATTTTATATTTTAATTAGTAAAGCTAGTTTCCATTAAGAAGGCATTACCATTTTCATAGTATGAGAATATAAAACTATTGGATTGGCAAGAAAGTAATTTCTGTTTGCACAAATAGATAGCGTTATGCTCGTTTTGTTAGTCTTCTGTCAGTCGTACATATTTTCTCCTTTGAGATTCGGCAGCTGAAAACCTTTTGATTTCTGTAGAAACAAATTCCGTGTATTTTTGCTTACAACTGTCTGTTACGGTAAATTTTAACATGGGGTGCAAAAATAAACATTTTAAACATATTTTCATGACAGAAAGAAAGCGGCTGAGGCTCGCTAAAAAGATATGTGAAGTTCATGGTGTTGATTGCTTAACAGAACGCGTGAAACACAATTCGTTTAAAAGTTTTGTTCTGGAGGTATTTCACTTGAAGACGACCAACTTTCTGAACGACCTACTGAAGTTGGTGATGACAAAATTAAAGCCATAATTGAATTGAATCGTCATGTAACTATGCGAGAGATTGCAAAAAGGTTAAATACTATATCACACACAACAACTGAAAATCACATAAGATATCTTGGGCTCGTTAAGAAGCTCGAAATTTGGGTTCCACATGAATTAAAAAAACATTTAACTCAACGAATCAATACTTGCAATACGCATTTCAAACTAATGTAACTGGCTTTCTTTTTAAATGAATTATCACTGATGATGAAAACTGGATCGAAGTAACTCTAATAAAAAAAGTTCATGATTTAAGCATAATGAAAGAGCAGAAATCATAGCGAAATAATGCATAAAGTCATATTGTCAATTTAGAGGAATTACAAAGTTGTTGTGCATTTATAAGTTTCCAAGCAACCGAACGATCAGCTCAAATGTTTACTGCCAACAACTTATGAACTTGATAGAAGCAATCTAAGAGGAAAAACCATAACTGGCAAATAGTAAAGGAATCGTCTTCCACAACGACAATGTGAGGCCTAAAACATTTTCAGTAACCTGTACGAAATTATTGAGAAGTGATGTCACATTTCCCATAAAGTCGCGACCGTACACTATCCGGATTATCATTTATTTCGAAGTTTGTAAAACTTCCTAAATGGTAAAAAATACAGTAAAAACGATGACCCTCAAAATCTCACTTGGTTGAGTTTTTTGCTGATAAAGAACAGAATTTCTAGGAGCGAGAGATTATGAAGTTATCAGGAAGATAGCAAAAGGTCATTAAACAGAATGGAATATATTTGACTGACTAACGTTCATTTTTTATAGAAAGACTGAGTTTTAAAACCATTTTGTTAACACAATATAGTATTATATTAGTTACTATAGAGATAAAAAAATATTACTTATGAAAATTTTAAATAAAAAGTCTAAATAATACAAAGTTTTCAACTCAGTAGAAAGTGTAGCATATACAAATAGCAAGTAAATGTTGGCAAATTCATTAATTTTTCTAGGTGTGGGTCAGCCTTTAACTCCTGAAAAGACACGGATGTTAATGGCTTTGCGTATCAATGTCCTGGCTAAAGGTTTCAGTGGCATTTCATTAGATACTTTGATGCATGTTGTAGCTGCGTTCAATGGTAAGACAAACTCTTTTACTTAATGACGATTTACAGTAATTAGCTGTAAAACTTATCTGTTCAATTTTAATTTATAGCATTAAATGGGTTTCATAAAATATACTAAATAATATTTTTATTAAATAAAAAATTAAAAAATATACTAACAGATTTTATTACAAAACCTTAGTGTTCTTGTTTGACGAGTTAGCTATTCGGCCACTATTTTTTAGCCTTAGCTCTATTTTACATTATTTTTTCATATGTTTACATGTTTTTGTAACTTCATTTTATTTATCAATAAATTTGGTAAAATTGTTAATATGTTCTTATTTTGAAACAGGTCTCTATATATTATTTTATCCTAAAATGATGTTTTTAAAGTTTGAAATTAAAACAAAATTAAGCCTTAACATGATGTAAATTTTAAAGCACATCTGTATGCATTTCAAAAGAACATGACATGGGTCTCTCTTCTTTATAAGACAAAAATACTGCATGTCATTCTGGCAAAATTTTATAACTTAAATAAAAGAATAAAGGTAAGTGAATATAAAATTACAGGGCCAATTATACTGAGAAAATGGAAAGGAAAGAAGAAAACTTAAACAAATATTTTTCGAAGAACACGATTAGGAAAAAGTCGTACATTAAAGCTAAAATCTTGTTAAATGTGGAAAACTTCAAGGAAATCTAAATCATCAACGAAAGAATGTTTCGAAAATTTTAGTAGAAAAAAAGTGTAATAGATAGAAGTTAAGATAAAATTTGCGGAATTAGTAATGGAAGATTTAATAATTTTTAATTTTCTGACGTAAAATGCGTGAACTTTAATAAGAAATGACATAGCTCTATTACTTCGCCAGATATATCTAAACCACTCTGAATTCCCCCAAATTAAAAAACACGAATTTTACTCATAGAAGAGACAATAATCCGGGAATTGAATTTAGGGTAATTTTGATAATTTTGTTATCAATAGAAGGGGGAAAGGAAATTGCAGCGAAATTGTTGTTACGTTTTGTAATGAGTGAGGTTTCTTTACAATGATGAGGAAAACGTTCTAAAAGATTTATAAATAACAAAAAATAAGGAACATTTATTTTTGGAATTTTCATTAAACAAGAACAAAACAATTTTTTAATTTAAATGTGGCAAAAGTTTTAAAATTAAGCAACAAAGGAATGCAAAAGTTTGAAATTTTCAATTTTTAAGGGCATACTGTGCTAATCCTTTCATTGCCAATAAGTTTTGTAAGGCACAATTAAAATAAATTACTTATTTTTATTAATATAATTTAAATTATTAATCACATACTAAAAGGAAAAGATATATAAATAATACTACAAGTAACACTAAAAGGGACTAAAAGGAAACGAAATATAATGGCACACACTAAAAGGAAGACTAAAAGGGACTGAAAGAAAATAGATACACTAAAAGCTAACGCATACTAAAAGCGATATAACACACACTAAAAGCGAAAGATATAGAGCAATATATTTGCGCCTTGTAATTTCGGGAAACTGCTTAAAAGTTGTTTTTTTTTTAAAGCTGCATCTCTGCAGCTCTTATTTTTGCATTTATTAAAGTCTGTGTAATATATTTTTTCCAGCTTCTTGTCTTCCTTGGGTTCCTGAAAAGGGAACGGTAGGGGCCAGTGGTGATCTTGCACCACTTGCTCATTTAGCATTAGGTATGATTGGCGAAGGTAAAATGTGGAGCCCGGAAACTGGATGGGCAGAAGCGAAATATGTGAGTAATTTGCTATTCATATTTTTATAATAAGCAAGTGATGTATTATTACCACAGCTTATGACACAGCTTCATAGAAACATCAGCGACTATGAGAATATTAAAAAAATATCTGTCATTATGAAATTGCAAAAATATGGAACTGAATAAACGATTTTATCTTAATTTGTTTTAGAATTTCATTACAGAAGTATCGAATTAAATAAACATATTTTCTTCAAATTTGATTCGTCTGAAAATTTCACTGTTAATATTTCATTACAGAGATTTTAAGCAAATAATTTTTGGAAGCTTTTGCCTTTTTGAATGCTTTTAGATATAAGTAATTATTGAAACAAGTAAATTTTTATAACTAAAATTATCAATCATCTGCATATCATCTTATCAATCTATTGAAACTTGAGTTTTCCCAAAAATGAGCTAATAGAAATTTTAAAGCTGAAATTTAAAAAGAAATATAAAAATGTATTTAATTTTATTCCTTTGTAAGCTGTAAAAAGATGAAATGAAATGAATCTCTTGTTTTCTTCTTTCAATATTTTATATGCCTTTTATTAAATTGTGCCTTTTAATATTCTGATATAGTATTTTTAGTTATATATACTCTTAAACTATGTAATAAAAAAAGAGAACCGATGCAACCAGTTTTAGTATCGATGTCAAATATTTATTCATAAACAACAAGGAACATTCCTTGAAGTTCAGTGGTGCCTAAAAATTAAGATCTCTTGGATTCTGTAACAGACTTGCTTGAGTAGCTAATTTCATATGCACTAGACAATTTTATGTACCCTAGATATGCACATTTGTACATTAAATCTAGGCATACTGCGTATAATACCCATATTTATTTTTTTTCTTCATTACCTAGTAAAGTAACCACCTAGCAAACTACCTAGCAACCACCTAGGCAATTTGGAAAACTCAATCAATGAGCCTAATGTTTCTTTCTCATTCCCCCCAAAAAAAAATCAAAATAAAAGGTTATTTCTTCCTCGTATTAGAGTGTAACTACTTCTGTATGACTAGATCATAGCTATTATCTTCATATAATAACAAAATATTATGAATGACGTTTGTGAATTCATAAAACTTTGCCAACAAAAAGTTTTAAACTTCAAAAAAATGTTATAAAAAGTTTAGATACAAATAAACAGATATTAGTTAAAATTATTAATGATAATTATTTCATGAATTTGCATAGAAAATACCTGAATTTTTTAATAGTTAAATTTCCTTAAACTTTTACATAAATGTTTCAATATGTTAGAATGATTTAAAGTAAAAGAATAAATGACTTATTATATGAATTAAAGATTTTGAGGGAGAGATGGTTTGGCCATAGGTGCACAGCATCAGAATCTTTGATATGTGAGTAACTGGAGTCCTTTATGCGATATAAATGTTTCAACATCTGTAACTTACTCTGCAAATTTACGATGCACAGTATCTTGGAAGTGAAGAGCTAATCGGAATCTTTCAATAGTTCGGATTTTATATTCATACATGATGCATATCTTCCTAAAAATTTGTATTTCTCATTCAAAAATATAGCATTACAAGTTTTAACTAAATGAAACCATTCACACTGATTGCTTATATAAAAAGTTTCTTCCTTTAGAAGTGTTGTTGCTTAAGTGCATCATAACGGCTGTTTGTAATTATTATTATAGCATAAACTATAACTGCTTTAACAATATTACATTTACAATGCATTTTCTCAGATTTTGTTAGCTCAATTAAACGTTTCTACAATAAATTCATTTCATGTATTACGCATTATTTATTTGAGGGCAAAACCTAATGAGCATAAGTAACTGAATAACGTCCTTTTAGGTTCTAGAAAGCCATAACTTGAAACCTGTCTCCTTGGGTCCCAAGGAGGTGAGTAGGCAATTTATTTTAAAGTTGAATTTTATACAAAAACATTGTTTTATATAATATAATAATCTTAATTTAGGTAAACTTTATATTTTCTAGGGAATAGCATTGCTGAACGGCACACAACTAATTACTTCAATCGGAGCTGAAGGTATTATAAGATAAAACAATTAGCATTCTTGCATATTAAAAATAAATTATTATTATCAATAATTATTGAATTACTATTAAACATAATAATTACATCAATAAATTGCAATATAAATAGTAAACAATGAAATTAATACTAGTATCATAAAAATATAAATTTTTGTGATAATAAAGTAAAATATTATAGGTATGATTTAGAATCATTTGTATTACAAACTTCTAAAATTACAGTAATTTTACATTATAATTGCGATTCAAAATTTTTAAACAGAGGATTATTAAGCCAATAACACGCCGACTAATACTGATTCAGAAGTCAAACAAACAAAAATCAGCGTTAATTCACAAAATTTTCACAGGACTAGTTTCGATGGTTTTACCGAACCATCATCTTCAGCTGCAAACCGCAAATGAACAAGATAGGAAATAATTTAGATAAGATAAGAAAGCCTGGACAAGAATAGCAAGTGGCGCCATCTGTTGGCGAACGAAACCAGAACTAAAACATAATTTCTCTAAAAGCCGAAGGCAAATTTGGATTGGAATTAGGATCGTTAACTAGAACAGAAAGATTTTTTGAATGTGAAAATGCCTCTAGAAAATCCAGTTCTCCAATGGAAGATGTTTTTTGAATAATTTTGGCAGCAGAAAATTTGAAAGTGTGATTTTCGGACCAACAATGTGAGCAACAGAAGACTTCTGTGTTTCCTTTTTTCTAACATATGCCTCATGTTCCTTTGACGCGAAATTTTAAGGCTCTCTTAGTTTGGGCCAATGTAAATTAAACCGCACTGGCAAGGAATCCTATAATACCCCAGGAATTCATATCCGGAATGGGGTCCTTGAGTATAGAAGTTCGGAATTTTATTGATGGGAGAATAAACAACCCGAAAGTTAAATTTCTGCAAAATATGTGCAACTTTATAGCTAATTGATGGAAAGAGGGAATGACAACAGAATTTTTATAATCTCCTAAAAAAGAGTGTGGCTTTTAGTGTGTTGAGATGAGAATTTTTTTTTTAACTGCTTGATTATAATGTTGGGTGAAAAGCCCCTGTCAATAGCTATTGCTTTTTTTAAATAATTTAGTTCTTCATCAGGGGCTAGTTTGGAGGAGCAAACTTTGAAGAGCACGGAAAACATAGGAATAAATGAAGCTAACTTTGTTTAGTCGGATGACATGATTTAAAGTGTGGTGGAAGGCAAACCGATGAAGGTTTACGGTAAACTGTAGTACTGAAGTTGGATGTGTTACCGTGTGACCAGAATGTCGAGAAACGGAAGAGAATTGCAAGTCTCAAGTTCAAAAGTGAACTGAATAGCAGGATCAATAGAATTCATTGTTGAAAGAACTCTATTTAAATCATCTTTATTACCTTCAAACAGGGTAAAAGTATCGTCTACGTAGCGGAACCATGCCGGGAAGTTTAAAGTTTAAACAATTTTGATTCATAATAATGCCTGTAGATATCAGCCAGGATGGGACTGAGGGGGCTTCCCATGGCTAATCCCTCAGTTTGCTTGTAATATTTATTTTGGAAAACAAATGTGTTTGTTTCAAACAGAGTTGAGTGAGAGAAATTAGCTCATCAATTTCGATGCAAGAGAAATGAACTTCGCGAAGTCTGGGTTTCTAGACATCTTAATGCACCCTCCACTGGGACATTGGTGAATAATGATTTTACATCAAAAGAAACCATGAGTAAATTACGAGGAGAAATGTTTTTAACCTTTTTTACAAACTCTATTGAATTTTTATGTGTAAATGTTATTGTCTAATAGAGTGGAAAATCTAGAAACTAAATATTTAGCTAATGGATACGAGGCAGTACCTAAATTGATACAATAGGGCGGAAAGGAATACCACTTTTAGAATTTTGGGAAAGAGCATATAATCTGGCACAATTCGCAACAGATGGGATAAGCGAATGTTTAAGTTGCTTAAATGATTTGCGAAGATTTGATCGCAGTTTTTATTTGGATAAGTCCGAAGGTGAAGATCTTTAGGATCGGATTATGGGTTAAGAGTTTAGTCGATCGTGTTAATGACGACTATCTGGCGGCATGTCTCCTCGAAATAAAATCATTATTCACCATGAGTGGAGGTGCATTAAGATTCTAGAAACCAGACTTCGCGAATTTCATTTCTCTTGCATCGGATTGATGAGCTAATTTCCTTATCAACTCTGTTTGAACAAACCATTTTGGTTTTCCAAAATAAATATTACAAGCAACTGAGGGATTAGCCATGGGAAGCCCCTCAGTCCCATCCTGGCTGATAGCTACATGCATTATTATGAATCAAATGTTTGAAACTTTAAACTTCCCGGCATGGTTCGCACGTAGACGATACTTTTCCCCGTTGAAGGTAATAAAGATGATTTAAATAGAGTTCTTTCAACAATGAATTCTATGATCCTGCTATTCAGTTCCTTTTGAACTTGAGACTTGCAATTCTCTTCCGTTTCTCGACATTATGGTCACACGTAACACATCCCAACGTCAGTACTCAGTTTACCGTAAACCTTCATCGGTTTGCCTTCCACCACACTTTAAATCATGTCATCCGACTAAACAAAAGTTAGCTTCATTTTATTCCTATGTTTCCGTGCTCTTCAAGTTGCTCCTCCAAACTACCCTTGATGAAGAACTAAATTATTTAAAAGCAATAGCTATGACAGGGGCTTTTCACCCACATTATTAATCAGCAGTTAAAAAACTCACATCTCAACACACTAAAAGCCAACTCTTGTTTTAGGAGATTATAAAAATTGTGTGTCATTCCCTTCTTTCCATCAATTAGCTATAAAGTTGCATATTTTGCAGAGAAATTTAACTTTCGGGTCGTTTATTCTCCCATCCATAAAATTCGAGTACCATATCAAGGACCCCATTCCGGATATGAATTCCTGGGGTATTTAGGATTCCTTGCCAGTGCGGTTTAATTTACATTGGCCAAAACTAAGAGAGCCTTAAAATTTCGCGTCAAGAACAGAGGCATATGTTGAAAAAAGGAAACACAGAAGTCTTCTGTGCTCAACATTGTTGGTCCGAAAATCACACTTTCAAATTTTCTGCTGCCAAAATTATTCAAAAACATCTTCCATGGAGAACTGGATTTCTAGAGGCTTTCACATTCATAAAAATCTTTCTGTTCTAGTTAACGATCCTAATTCCAATCCAATTTGCCTTCGGCTTTTAGAGAAATTATGTTTAGTTCTGGTTTCGCCAACAGATGGCGCCACTTGCTTATTCTTGTCCAGGCTTTCTTATCTTATCTAAACATTATTTCTATCTTGTCATTTGCGGTTTGCAGCTGAGATGATGTTCGGTTAAACCATCGAACTCGTGTGAAAATTTTGTGAATTAACGCTGATTTTTGTTGTTTGACATAGGATTAGTTTAAAAAACCCTCTAATTTAGTTTTTTAAGGAACAAAGTTAATAACAACTGGTTCAGAAATACGTTTAATGTATAAATAGTTTTTAGTAAAGGAGATGTATAAATTTAATTATGTTGAAATATCACTCTATTATATCTACCGATAATGTATTATATTATTTCCATAGCTCTACAAAGAGCCGAAATTATTGCCAAACAAGCTGACGTTGTGGCGGCGCTGTCTTTAGAAGTTTTGAAGGGCACAACGAGAGCATTTGATGGAGGTAACATAACAGTATTTTATTACTGATGATTTAATTTTTGTAATTAGAAGAAACTTATCAGACATTTTATCTCACGGTAAAAGGGTCAAAATGGCAGTAGGTGCTTTGTTACTTTATGTCATTTACTTTAGTTCTTAATTTATAAAGTAAAACACAGATTCGATTTTTCTTGGAATGATGGGATAATTTGAATCGCATTTAAACTATTAATAAATGCCTTACCTGCAGTAAATGATGCAGTACAATAAAAGAAACTGTGATGTATTTGAATGTTATGTTTTGTATGCTTACCTCGGATATAATGGAAATGCTGATTTGAATTTTATTTCCTTTGTAATAAAGATAAGGAAACAAATTCGCTGTCATTATCTGATCTCTGAGCTTTCATATTTTAAAAAGAATGTTCAACAAATAGCTACGTATTATTTAATATGGTAATTTCTTTTAATTCTGTTTAATATGGTAAATTTTTATATTTGTGTGTGTGTATTTAATTACGGCAAAGCACACTAGCGCTATCTGCCAAAGGGGAGGGATGCCTTTCGTAGAGGACTTTCTAAGGGAAACTGACTCGTATACACGTTACACATGGGGAAAACCACGAAAACACCCATGCAGCCAGCCCGTTCGCGGGATTCGAACCTCGGACCGAACTACCAGTATTCAGCGACTTTACCGCTCGGCCGCTGGTGGGCGGTAAATTTTTATAAAAAGATCACTTTGCTGAATAGTGGTGTTCTGGAGCGTTCGTATAGATTTGTTTTATCTAATTTTGATGTAACATAGTGGTATATAGTTCTACATAAAAATACAGTTATTTTTTTACACGATTTAGTTTGGTATCATATGGTTTCAAACAGTGCCTTTCAAAAATCTCTATGCGAATTTAATTACTAAAATATTCTAAATTAAATAATATTACTATAATTTCAAATTATAATAGAGATGCCATTTAAATAAAATTTTAGAAATAGTTTTGACTTTGAAAATGCACTTTTTTAACAATAAGACTTCGTCAAACTTGCACTTATGTAACTACATAACAACTTTTCTATTTTATTATATTAAAATAAACAATATTTTCTACCTTTGTTTGCTGTTACTTTACTTCAGTTTGCTAGCTTAAGTGCATTTAACAAATTTAAGTTGACGATGAATGGTTAAGTATGATAAAAATGGTTTTAAATTTATGTAAACACAAGAAAACAGAAAATAAGTACAAATTGTGTTTGACTCGGGATAAGAAGGTTAAAAGCTAAATTCGCTTTTCTTAAGAAATTTTGATGTTATGTGTATGAAACCGATTATATTTTTGTTTATGTATTTCATTCTGAAATCTCTGATCTGTTTTCCAGTGTGCATTATTTTTTTTAATAAACTTTTCTTTTGTGTACACTTTTTTTTGTGCAAACATTTTTTTAACAGCGTCGAGAGGGAACTCGTTTCAATGAAATGTATTTGAAATTCTGAAGCCTTATAAAGAAAGTGATTTTTTGGTCAATATCTCTTTCCTAAAATATTTCTGAAATAGCTCATAAAATCAAAATTCTATCAAGTATATTGATGTGGAAACGACAAACCAATATAATGTACTCAATATTGCAAACCCTGAAAAGCAAAATTTATTGTTTATTAAGCGAATGATAATTTAAAGAGATAAAAATAACTATAAGAAGGCAATTTTACATACGTTTTTAGTCTTTGGATATATGCATTTCTAATATGTTCCTTGAACATATTTCAAGATGCACATATAAATACTTCCTTAAAGACGTCACAAAAAGTATTCTAGACAGAATATACACGACTTTGTTGGTCAGAGGGCTAGTACATGTTTTCATTTTATTTTTAGTATAAAAACTGCTAATAAGATTAAATAAATGAAAGCACTGATATGGAATAAGAATACTATAAGAAAAGATGAAACTGAATTTAGTAATTTATGATTAATAAATATTTGGATGCAGTGAAATACATATTCTGTGCTTTTATCAGGTACTTTGTAATGAATAAAAATATATTTTTTATATTATAGATATCCAAAAAGTTCGTCCTCACAGAGGACAATCTCACGTGGCTAAGCGATTGAGATCACTTTTGCATTCAGATACTCATCCTTCGGAAATGGCAGGTAAGTTAAGAATAAGAAGTTAAATTTTTAGTACCTGAGTTAAGGTGTCTAAGTTTCCTTTACCGGCCTAATTTTAATGAAAAACCTGAATTGTAAGATAAAATAACATTTAAGTGTCATAAAACATATATAGTACACGGAAGTTTTATCAAATATAAATATAGTCTCAACAAGGATATTGTGATGTGACGTCGATTTAAAAATGTATATTAACAATAAACTCTACTTTTATGAAATTATTTATTTTTATTTTATATGTTACCAGTTACTCAAATTTTTATTATTACCGTACCGTTTCGCGTATTTCTCCCCTTTTTTAACTAATTTAACTAATTTCGAAAATCGAGAGGGGAATTATGCGAACAATTTGATTTTCGAAGAACGCGGTTACAGTAAAAACATAACAAATGGAAAGTAGTAATGCATAATAAACTAATGCTAAATATTACAACGCTATTTCTTTAAAAGAAACTTACATCAGTAAGGATACATAGTATCTAATATTAACATTACAATATTTGATGAATATCCAGCCGATATCTGACGGTAAATTAGCCGGACACGTCGAGATGGAGCAAGTCTCAGGAACACCTCGCATAAATGCGTCTTAGCCGCAGTTCCTAAGGAAGACATCGGAGGAACCAAGAAGAAGGGGGCGAATCCTAGAATTTTAATGATCAAGCAGATCAGTAGTGTACACTGTGCTGAAATGTAAATGGAAGAAATAATGGGAAATCACGTGTTTGAAGAGTTTCTTAAGTGTGAGAACACTTGCCACGTCCTGGTAGCTTAACGAAAAATCTGCATAAAATACGTTTCAAATAATAAATATAAGATAAAATAAAATGGACTGACTGCTACTAGAAAAGTGCAGATGCAAACTGAATACACTGAATAAAAATAGAAATAATCAAGGGAATAGAAGTTTCCAATAAACTAGATATCAGGCTAGAAAAATTGTGTATAACAGAGGAAGGGAAAAATTATGCGAATATTTAAAAAAAAATTTAGAAGGTAACGTTAAAAAGCTAGAAAAGGCGTGGGAATATCAAGGAAATACGGTATCTTATTTTATAAAGTTATCACTATTTTGATAATATTGCTTGTGAAGTATTTTAATTGCACATTTTTATCACTTAGACCCTATCAAAGCCTTTCGCTTAAATTTAGTCATAAATAAAAAGTTATTCAGCAGGTTACTATTCTCGCCTTTCTCCCTTGAATTATTTTTTTGAAGATGATTTTTCAAACATTTCCTCGGCCTACTTTCATTTCGTGCAGTTATTAGCTTTCGATCTTTCTTAAAGCCATTGTTTTAAAAATTACGGTGGATAGAATGGTCTCAATACTTCACTCATAACTCCTTGATAACATTTACGTTTTTGGTGATAGATTGTTAAGTTTGGCCTTCTTTGTGTCAATTGATTGAAAAAAACTGCTTAGATTTCAGTATGCGATAATTCTGTACAAACTTAATTGACAATAGTGTATATTTTAGAAAAGACAAATTTCTTTCGTAAACAACATCAAATCACTTTTGAAGTATTTAAGTAGAGTTTTAGTTTAAACAACAGATTGTATTAATCAAGCCACGATATTTCAAAAATAATATTTAGGATTTCTTTTATGTTTTACTTCTGAGGCACTGTATGTATTGTACTATTGAAACGATCTGGCACAAGTGAAAAAAAGTAAAAGGTTTTGCATTCTTATTATCTGCTTCTTGCATGTTTTAAGTGAAACTGTAAAAAAGCATGAATCCGATTTGTTGTTATGGTATTTTCATTGGATGATGGACATTATAATAATATATATTTTGATTACTTTTTATCTATTTTCATGATTAAATATACATATTGTGCTTTTATAAGAGGAAGCTAAATAAGATGTTGCATTTTAACACAGCTGTCTTCTTTGTTTTTCAGAAAGCCATCGGTTTTGTAATAGGGTTCAAGATGCATACACCTTGCGATGTTGTCCTCAAGTTCACGGCATCGTTCATGACACAATTGAATTTGTCCGGGACATCATCACAACGGAAATGAACAGTGCTACGGACAATCCTGTATCCCTTTTTTCTCAATTAATGTATAAAATGAAAATTAATTAGTACATTAATATATGACACGCGTTAAGGACTGAACTAAAAAAGGAAAAATGAGAGACTTATGCTTAATCGCCCGCAAAACCTATTGAATTTTATTAGCATAGACTGGCGATTATGAAAATCTTTGCCAGTCTAAGCTTGCCTTTTTTGTCTATATTTTAACTTTACATTGCCATGTTACTCTCTGATTAATAGTTCTTTCTATACAGATTTTGAAGTTTAACAGCTTATGAATTAACGGCTTGTGCATTCGGATAAAGTCCATCGCAATAAAATAGTTATTGCAACGAAAAGAAGAACAAATTTCCATTTTCAGTTCGTGTAAAAGTTGCGTTAGTCCCACATGTGATCTATAGAATAAGAAAGTTCCTTTGCTTCGCTGCAGTTTGCATGTTCACTAGATTAGTCTTTTTTAATTTCCTACAAGAGTTTTGATTTTGCGTTCAATAGCCCGCTTGGCTATTTGAACTAAGAAACTTTTCTTTACTGCAGGATTCACCTTTTGAAATAACTTTTCTTTGTGATTAATAATTTTCAGCTTTTAATTTAAAAGGAAACTCGAAACTCTTCTTTTCGCTTAATTCTCTTTACTAAGAGACCTAATTTTAATTTCAGGTTAGTGAGAAAAATGCTTGACGTGTTGCGAAAATTAACAGCTTGTGCATTCAGTATATAAAATTTTTATGTATATTAAGCTAATCTGAAAAAAATAGAGAAATTAAAGCATTTAGAAAATTTTAAAAAGACAGAAGATTAAAATAAAAGGTTTTTCTCTAAAGTTTTAAGCAGCAAAATACAGTATTAATCATAGAATACGTTGAGTCTATCTCAAAAATCGTGTTCAGGCTAATTTCAATATCATAATAAGGAAAATATTCGAAATCAAGAATTTAGTAGATTAGGACATTTAACGCAAAATAAGCTAGTGATATTATCACAATGGCACCCTGGTTCGATGGCTGGTTCGAAGCAAAATTGATCCCATCTTTCGATATAAATCGAAAAATAGAAGTATTTTCAAGAGAAAGAGTATGTGTGTGGTGTTGGGGGGGAGGGAGAAGCGATGTTGGGTGTGGGGTGTGATGTTGGGTTGGGGGGGAGGGAGAAGCGATGTTAGGTGTGGGGTGTGATGTTGGGTTGGGGGCGGAGGAAGAAGCGATGTTGGGTGGGGGACTGATGAAGGGTGTGGGTGGGGGAGGGAGAAGCAAGAAAATTGGGATATTTGATAGATGCTAAAATTAACCTAAAAATTTGGTGTTATCGCTTACAGTTTTTAAAGCAAGTTTAGTTAAAAAAAATTCATTTTAAGATATTTTGCTTCACGATGCATGATCATGAGTTCCGATAATAATTAAAATGGAGAAGTGTTTGGAAAGAGTAACCTATATTCAAACCCTCAAAGAAAGTGACATATACTTGACTGGTATCTAATTTTACATTTGAACGCTTGGCCATCCATGTCTAGTTGAACGAAATTTAAAGAGAGATTATCTGATTTTGCTGCCAATTTCAATGTCATATCTTATCGACTGATCTCATCCGATTCCGCTTGTACACGGTTCTCTTGATCTGATCAGATATCAGATGAGAATAAAGGAAATGGTAAGTTCAATCCTATAATTAAAGAAAGAAAAGTTTTCTAAATTTTCATGCTTTGTATTACAAAGTTTTTATTCACAGTTAACAGAAGACAATTAAAAAGAAATTTATTTAATAACTGTTCTTCATTTACACTGTTTTATTCATTCTTAAGAACAGTAAGTTAATCACACGTATTTAAGATGCTATTAGGACAGGATTTATTTTTGATATAATTTCTCCCAATATTTAATATTTTACCCTTGATTTTATAAACAATTTACTTTATCCTATCTGTTTCGAACCAGTATCATCATAACATTAGTTTTCATATTGAAAAAGATAGTAACTAATATTTCGTAACAGGTAAATAGGAATACTAAATGTAATCTACAAATAATAATGTGTTAGTAATAACAACGTATAAAAACAATATACAGAATGCGTTTTAGGAGTTAAACATCATTTATTCTTCTTTTTGCTGCTTACTTTTTTATCATAAAACAGGAACTTGAAAGCTATGATTTTTAGGTGACTATTGACATTTAAAACGTGAGAATGATTTTGAATATTATGAAACTAATACCTACCTGCTGTAAATTTAAGGGAATTCAGTCGACTGCTAAATCAAGGCATTTTTGGATTTTTCATTTTTATGTTCCTTTTTGACTTTTGATTTTGTAACAAAAATTCAAGAAGATTAATTGATTAGCTCTATTTCACACTAACGGGAAGGACGAATAAGTGCTCATTTCTAAAAGAATTTTATTGCAGATTTCTTTGAGAAGGACATTGTTCAAAAACTGATTTAGAAAACAGATTTACTTTACTATAAGTAAATTAACTCTGATAGTCATTAAATCTGTCACACATCTTATGTAATTAAAATGTGTAATACTTTCTCAAGAAGAATATTGATTGAGATGCTCTTCGAAATTTCATTCATAGTTAAAAAAACGACTTTTAGGAAGACATAAAATGTGTACTCTCTTTTGATGTTTAGACTTGGAATTCCTTAATAATAAGTGAGGAGTTTGAATAATTCATTGAACTAAATAAGTTCGAATTTCTAAAAAATATAATTAAAAACTTACATGTTTTTCGATGATTTTAGGATGCGTTGGTTCACTAAGAGTTTCATCATAAAGTGTTTCTGAGTTGCTTTAGAATATTTTATATCCAGTCAAATCTCTAGATTCCAATTTCTATTATAATTCGCTATAAAGTTGGAATGGTATTGTAAATTCTTAATTCATAAAGTTTTAATTATAATTAAGCAAAATAGCTTCTGATGATCTCGAACTCGAGCATATTTATTTGTAATATGTATTTAAACACATCGATATACTTGCATTAAATATTTTTGCACTTAGTTTCATTTAGCTGGTAAAAAATTAATTAAATAAATACCGCTCATTTATCAAAGTAATAAGTTTATTGGTTAATTTAATGAAGGGAGTCTTGATTTTTGAGTTTAATTGATCTTTTATGTTAAACTATGAATGTTATGTCTTTAACGAAATGCTAAGCTTGTGTTTGTGGAGAGGGAAGAAATCATATCTGGTGGAAATTTCCATGGCGAATATCCTGCAAAAGTGAGTGTACCTATCTATAACAAATTTCAGTTTAAAACTTGATTTACTATTAGGGGATGTCCAAAAACAATGTTTACACTTCTTGAATGCTAATAATAGGAAAACTAACAAGAACAAATATTAGCTTTTTTTTATATCTTTTAAAAATTTACATGCTTAAAAATTTAGATATTCAGAATGGCAGTTATCAGCAACAGTACATGAGTGCAACGGTCGACAAAAAGACAGGAGGGAAAGCACAGGTAGTCTCAACAGTTTGTATTATGTCATAATGCGTCCGTGGATTTGTGGCATATATTGCAAGTCTATGTTACTCCCTGTAACATCGGACGTTGCTGTTCTTGTTGTTGCATCATTCTTTCTTCGTATAACATGCAGTTCCACAAGCCACTTCCGTTTACTGTACTGGCTGAGATTCGTACTTTGATAGTTTTGACTTAGGGGTATACTCTGCCCTAACTGGTTATTTATTTCCCATCGTCCGAGCAGTTGCGCAACCGGATAGTGTTTTCTAGATACCAATTCGCATATCTTCGCCTGTGCTTTGTAAGTTGATGAAGTCAGCTTCCACTGAATTTGGTAGAGATCGGCAAGATTTAGCGACATGTTTTTCCAATAAACGCTTTAATTACCAGAAGTAAGTAAATAAATTTAATTGATTCTCAAGCTTGTTACATAAACTCGTAACTATTAAACATAATTAGCGCTGGAGTTTCAAATTATATCCTCCATCATCTTTGCAGTTTCTGAAAATGCTTAAAAACTCGTTTGCTTTTTCTTGAAAAGAAACGCTTGCTCACCTCTTCTGTTTAATGTACTATGATATCTGTCTCCTGGCAGACCGTGCCAAACTTGAACAGGACAAAGTACGCGTTCTCATACACACATTCAGCTTGGTCACCGAAAGTTCAAATACTCAATGGTTTCAGTAGTTCTGGTGTAATTTATGTTCAGCTGCAAACATAAACATTAGAAACTGTAACCTAAACATTATTTTAGGACACCATGTATTTTAATTAGTTTTTTATACGAAATTTTATTTTAGGCCCTAGATTACTTGGCTATTGGAGTTCATGAGCTGGGAAGTATGAGTGAAAGAAGAACAGAAAGGTTGATTAATCCAGGTGAGAAAATTTATTTAAAATTAAGCAACTACCATTTTATTTTTTCACATTTTTATTTTTTTAGAATAGAAAATTATTTTACTGCAAGGGTAGATGGCATAAATGCTTTTTAATAAAAACACAAAACTTTAATTATCTTACGTTTGTTGGGTTTTTACCTAACATTATTGACCAAGCCTTTAAAAATTCTCATCTTAACACATCAAAAGCACCCTCTCGTTTTAGAAGACAATAAGAACTCTGTTATCATTCCTTTCCTTATATCGATTAGCTAGCTATAAAACTACACGCATTTTACAGAAATTCAAATTTTGGGTTGTTTTCTCTTCTGTCAATAAAATTCGCTGTTCAAAGACCCCATTCCGGATATGATTTTCTGGGGTTTATATACGGATACCTTGCCAATGCTGTTTAATTTACATTAGTCAGACTAAAAAAAAGCTTATATAAGCCTTAAAATTTCGAGTTAAGGAACATGAGACATAGGTTAAAAAAAGACAGATATAATTCCAACACTGTTGGCTAAAAATCCATTTTCCATTTTTTCTGAAGCCAAATTTATTCAATAGACATCATCCGTTGGTGAATTAGGTTTTTCTAGATGCGTTTCACATTCCTAAAAGTCTTTCAGTTCTTGTTAAAGATTCCAATTCCGATCCGTATTTACCCTCAGCTTTTAAGGAAATTATTGCATAATTGTTTTAATTTTGCATCAATAAATGATAGCTTGACTTCCTTCCTCTCATTCATATCGCCTTATCTTTGCCTTCTCTTTCATCATTAGCTCTTCTGCAGTTGAAGATGATGTTCTATGTTTAAACCTCCGAAACTAGCACTGCAAATTTACAAATTTATAAATATTACTCTAAATTTTATTTTTGTAATTCCTCCAATAGTATTGAATTACTTTAAATATTATTTGAAGGTAAATTTTTCTAAGGGTATTCTCCGAAAAAAAAAAAAAAAACACTAACGGTTTCGTGAGTCGACAAAGTTAGAAGATCACTGCTCTATACGATACCTCAACGCTTTATTGAGTAATGATAGAAGTCAATTAATGCAACATTGATTCATTTCTTACAACAAGATAAAATGCTGCATAGAAAAGTAATGCTGCTCAAAAAAATGCTGTATATTAAAATCCTTAAAGGCAATTAAATGCAAATGCTTTTGTGTAAAATTATTTTCATGATTCACATGAGAAACTTACATATTTTACATTTTTTTATCAAATGCTTAAACTGCATCGGCTACCTTATAATGCGGCAAAAGATAGAAATTCCATTGCATTTATGTGTTTATTTTTAGCTTAAAGTTACATGCAGTTATCATAATGTTCCTCTCCTTTATATGGATTCGTATATTCTCAAAATATTTCTCTAATCTATTCAGATTTTCGGATTGTAGCATGCCTAATATATATATTTAAAAACACATATTTGTTAGTTTCTTGAATTGTTTGAAGTTTTTATACTATAATCTGAAATTTTACTGTATTAACAGCTTTGAGTGGTCTTCCCGCTTTTCTTGTCAAAGATGGAGGTTTGAATTCGGGTTTTATGATGGCGCATTGCACTGCAGCTGCACTCGGTACGTATTCATTTATTTATCATATATGTGTTTCTAATATACATCCATTAATATTACGCAATTTTGTTTCTCATGTAAATTTAATTTAATATGTTTAAGAAAAATATCCAGCCCTTCTTTCCACGTGGTTTGATTTTATCTTATTTGGTCCAAACAGCGCCTTTTAGAAGTCTTACCTGAATTAATTTTTAAAAATTATTATTGTTCAATATGCTTATTATTTCCATTATTACTATTACTGTAGTATTTCTGTATACACATATTTATTCTGCATAAACAAAGATTCCTTCTTTTGTTTGTCAAAACCTACTTTAATATACATAAATGAAATTCATATTTTTGTACAACTTTTGTAGCATCGAATTAGTGATATATTAATTTCATTATGAAGTCTACTTTATACAGGAGAAAATGAGATAAAAGTAGGACGTTGGGGGAAAGAAGTATATAAATGAACATATTAGCAAATTTTAATTTTATTAATTTACTTTGATGAATTTTGGCTTGCATTCCACATATTTAATATAAAATAATGAAGAGCACTCATTCAAAAAAATCACGGATTTACAACATGGTTGGAACAGAATGAGACACACGGCTGATCTTGTACTTGATTTTACCCCTCGAAATTCATGTACTCGGAAATGTAATATATGCTTTTACTTTGATTACAAATATTATAGATCATTGCTTTGTTTTCTTTCGCAGTTAGAGTAGTACTATAGTAAGGTACAGTATATTTATGGTGCATAACCTATAAGGGCTATGATGCACCAAATAAATGATGAATACTTAGCATATTATATATAATTTGCACAATAGCATATTATAGATAAATATGCAGTAAACTGCATATTTATCTATAATATGAAGTTATAAAAACAACTAAAATGATATTTTGGTCACAAACTGTAAATGTTGGGATATACAAACGAATGAAACATGAAAGGTGAATATGAGTATAAAATAATTCTCATGAGAATTATGACAAGAAAGATGACAAGTATAAAAACTTTTTGTATACTACAAGTATAAAAAAATCAAGCAAAATTTCAGTATCTAAAATAGTATTTTCTAACGGGGTCGGTATTAATCCCCTAGGGGTCGATGAATTTGAAAGGGAGTCAGTGATGATAAAGGGGTCGATAGCCTAATAGGCACCAGCAATCGATCGGCATGATCAAGATCCAATTTATTACAAAAAATTATTAACAAAATTGATAATTAATTAACTATTGATATAAAGTTATATCAAGTAAAAAGGTAGAAATCATATATAATAAATATAGAGGAAAAATTCATAAAAAGTATTTAATATATTCTAAAAATGAATAAATTTTTTTAAATATGTAAATGTTTTGGATAATAAGTGCATGATAAGGAAATATCAAACAGAAACGTAAATCCACAACCGAAAAATATGAAGAACAGGAAACTAATGAACTATAACAAAATTTACGTCTATTCATTAACTTATGTCAGCCGCTGAAACTTGTTAATACAAGTTTTCTGTTAAATGACAATTAGAATCTGAGGAATAAAACAATGTGATTTTATTTCTGAAAGCATGTCTGTACCTAAAAATTAGGAGTAATTAAACATAAACCCAATAAACCAATTTTAAAAAAGTTGTTCGTATTCTTTATCTAATTGCTATCTTTAAGTTATTTATGCGTAATTATTTGTTTTAAGATATTGCTGTATGGTGTATATTATAAGGGAAGAAAAACATTCTTTGATGAAGAAAAACATTCTTTTAAAAGAGGACAATGCAAGGAAAGGGTTGCAAATTATAATTAAGATGCACTCTATATCTAGCTAAATTATTTTAAACTATTTCATGTATAATAATAAAAATCAGTGCGTCTTAAATAATGGGAGGTCAAAATTGTTGCATTTTCCAATTAAATAATAAAGACAAAGCATCCATAGAATATTTGAGACGAAGTCTCTCAAAATGTATTAAAATATATCGTACTGGCAGAATAGCATTGCGAGGCTGTTCAGAATGGACAATAACCACTAGAAGGTTCATTTACCTAAAACTGATATTCAGCTACGCGTTTATCAGCATCCGTTTTTTGGAGCTGGAATTAACGCGGTTTGCTACAGTTAGTAATTTGGGATTAATCTAGAAGTTGACCTGTGACATTTCATTTAAGGTGATTAACAATTAAACTTACGTCGACTCTATTTTATGCCTTCTTTTGTCACATAGTCGCTCAGCCCAAAGGGTTGTGCAGATTTTAATGTAAGTGGCTTAGCTTAAAATGAAAAAAAAAAAAAAAAAAAAAAAAATTAGTAACTGGCATGATTTGAAGTGAAGTTCTGGCTGCTGCTGCCGCTACCTGTTTGTTTGTAGGAAGAAATTCGCTGATCAGAAGCCACGTGAACTCCTGACATTGGCGCAGCTGATATATGTTGAAATTAATTGCGTTTGTTGGCCCAGCCTAGTTAGATTATAGGTTTGTGTACATTTACTGGACTTTAAAATGCTGGAATTCAATAAACTGCTGTGTCAAGAACATTTTAATATTGTGTTACACTGTTTTAAGTTAAACGTACCAGCTCTGAGGATCTGATGCTGTAAGTAGTTAACTTTTATATTTTGTGGTGTATCTTGTGTAGGTAGTTAGGCATCTTTGAAGGTTATAAATTTTTCCTCTCTTATTTTCATCTAATTCAGATTTAATTGGTGATAACTGTCTACACGATACGCTGAAATATTTTTTTTCCCCGAACCGCATATGGTTTACGCAGATATCAGCAGGGAAATATACAGCCAGCTTGATACTGCATTCTTCGAAGTGTTGGTTGAGCTTGATTTTGCTGTTGACACTTCTATCAATAGTGGTTGTGTAGTATGATAGTAACTGATATTTTGTAAGCTCAGTTTCGTCAACAGTGACTTTGTCACTGGTTAAAGAAGAAACAAAAATTCTGGAAGAAATAAATACTAAGATTTAAAGCAGAAAACATAATTTTTGAGAAGATACTAAAAGCATGTTGTACCATTGCTGCCTTAGAATACGCTGTTCCATTATATTTTACGATCTGAAATTGTAGCATATTTGGAGGAAATTACTATGTAACCACGTGGCATTTTTTTGCAGGAAATGTGCTTAATAAGTCCTTAGTGGTTCGGTAAAGAAGTTGGAATTATTGATCTCAGAGCAGAGGAAAATTTTATATGATAACTTCATTATGTTATGATTCTTCTATCAGCATTTGAATTTTAGTGTCCTCTAGTATAAAATCATCTTTGGTTGTTTTAAAGAAGCTATATGGAAACGAAACAAAAATAGCTCAACATTACCATATTTATTTCAAACTGAATTTCTTCTGCCATTCCTGAATAATTTGCATACTCTTATCCAATACGCCTCAAAAATAACAACAGCAAAATATAACTTCAAAGCAAGTTTAAACAATAACATATCAAATAATGTTTATTTATAATAAAATACAGAACAATTCTACCGAAAATTTACTACTGATTCTACTCAGAAACTGTTTATAATAATCAATGTTAGCTCTTTTTAATATGCAAATTCTGTTATGTGTGAATTCTAAAAATTCTGTTTTATTTTAAAGTGTCAGAAAATAAAGTACTTTGCCACCCGGCGTCAGTTGATTCCTTACCCACCAGTGCTGGCACTGAAGATCATGTATCTATGGGAGGGTTTGCGGCACGAAAAGCTCTGACTGTAGTTGAAAACGTTGAAAGTATCATTGCTATAGAACTTCTTGCTTCCTGTCAAGCCATAGAGTTCTTGAGACCTCTGAAGACCACTGAGCCTCTGGAAGCAGCGTATGCTGTTGTCAGATCGGTAGTCAAGTAAGTGTTCTGAATAATAAGTGTTATAGTCTAAACAAGTTGACAAAATTTTTGATAAAAGAAACATAATCATTTCGTACTACCTTTTCATTCCCCTATACAACGAGTCTACAAATGTTTGTTTTGTGGCCGACCGTTATTTTCGCAACCGTTGGTCGTAGATATGTACTTCCAGCTGCAGATTTGTTTTAAATGATGAAAAGATTCATGTTCTAGCATTTTTAAATTAAAAAAAATTGTAAAAATTATGAAATTTAACTTTTTATGCTTCGCTTGGGTGCCTGTACTTACAATTAGAAAAAAATTGTGCTCGTTACAAAAAACTAAAACGCAAAAGTTTTGACCCTCGTAAGCAAAAATTGACTGAGGTATCTCTCTATACATAAAGAAGAAAGTCTGTGTGTTTGTTTGTTCGCGAATAACTCAGCCACTACTATAGCTATCGTCACCAATCTTCCTACAATTCTTTTCTGGGTCCTGGAAAAGATCAACGTCCACTTTAAAAAAAAGAAAAAACCAGCTAAAATCAGAGATATTTGTTAAAAACTCGAAAAAACGATAACTTTCGCATTCATTTTTCCGAGTGGCAATTGTCTCGCAAGCTGGAGTAAAAATCTGCTTCATTTCAAAAAGTTGTTGCCACTGCCCCCTTTCAAATTCTAGAGTTTGTTAACAAAAAAATCTAGAAGTTTTACGATGAAATAAAATTGCATTGCCAAACATTAAATACATTATTACCGATTACAAAAATGGGAAGCAATTTCGACTTTTCAAATCTTCGTATGACCTTAATCAGCCGAAATATTCATTAAAAATTTTTAAAACACTAATTTTCGCACTCATTTTTCCGAGTGGCAACAGTCTCGGGCGTTCGAGAGTAAAATTCTTTATTTCGAAAAGTGTTGCTACAGCTCGCTTTCAAATTCTAGAGTTTGTTAATCAAAAGTTTGTAAGTTTTACAGAATCTATACATATGAATAATGTCTCTTTGTGTGTTTGTTTGTTTGTTCTCGTTATTGATTTCTGATCAATTATGATAATTTTTTTGGCACATTAAATCGACTAAAATTGAATATAGGTGAAATATTGGATGGAACTTGAGCTTTTACTTGGTTAGAAAGACGAAAATCATTAAAAACTGCGTGCCATTGTTGGTGAAATAATGAGAGAGAATTAGATTATTTTTCTATCGCAGTTTTTTATGTTGGTTCCATATCGCTTCATATGTATGACTATGAATCGTATTTTTTGCATCGTTATTAGAGAAAGATTACAGCGGTATCGTTCTCTCTGTTGTTAGATACATTACTATCAGTCTAACTTAACTGGCATCGGGTACTTCTGGTAGTTAAATATAAAAACGGAAATCATATTCAGGAGCAGTACACAAACTGAAGAAAGAAAATTTGCTTTTTTACATAACTAAAAATAAAATATTGTTTAGAAAAATGTTTCTGATATTTAGAGATTATACAAGAAGCTTTTCTATGCGGATTATTATGGAAAATACTGATCAGTATAAATTTTTTTTAAAAAGGAAACTCGTGTTCTTAACAAGTCGTGTTAAAAAACTTATAGAACTCGTGTTTTAGAAAACATTGGTAGGAGTCAGTATTGTCATGCAGCGAATATTATTCCCGTTTATTAAATAGGAAAAATATATATACTTTAATGAATTGTTTATGATTACCAGAAGAGATAATAATTGGTAGGAGTCAGTATTGTCATGCAGCGAATATTATTCCCGTTTATTAAATAGGAAAAATATATATACTTTAATGAATTGTTTATGATTACCAGAAGAGATAATAAAACTTCATGGGAGTATTAATGACGTACCTTTCGACGTTTGAAAACTTATAAATTGATTGAGTGAAAATTTTTTTAGCATACCAAACGTAACAAATTTATAAATAAAGCCATTAGGAAATTAAAATAAAAGTCATTGAATGGCATTTAATGGGAAAAGTCAGTCTCGAATCACCAGCCTCTTAATGCAAATTAAAAATGATGTCAAATATGGCATATTTTAAAATCAAATATGTCGGTCAATTTGCCGTACGGGTGTTAATATTTTTTGTTTTATTTTTTTAACAAATGCAAATTTTTCTTAGATATATTATAGAGGCCGGAAGAACGTGTAAAATGTTAGATTTATATTTTATATAAAATTTATTAATTTAATTTAAAAAATGGAAAAACATGAATCTGCGCCATTTACACTTAAGACTAAATTTCCAATTAAAATTAAATTAAATTATATTACCATTAAATTTCAAACTTTTTTTTTGGAGCAGCTCTATTAAGGCCGCATAAAGGTTTATTAAATTATGGCAAAGCACTCAAGGGCTATCTGCTTTAAGGGAGGGATGCCTTCGTGAAGGACGTTTTAAGGAAAACTGGCTCGTATACACGTTACACATGGGGGAAAACCACGAAAACACCCATGCAGCCAGCCCGTTAGAACCTCGGACCGGAATACCAGTGCTCAGCGACGTTACCGCTAGGCCGCTGGTGGCCCAAGGCCGCATAAAGGATTTTATGAACAAGGTGTATACGCATATCTTTTGTTTCATGAAATTATTGGTGATTTTGAGTAAAACTGAGTTATAAAAGCAATATATACTGTATACTTTCGAATATAAGTCGATCCATATATAAGACAGTTTGGCGTGAGATTGAAAATGTTTTTAATCAGGTTAATCGTAAGAAATGTTTTCCAATGAAATCGCTATAATGTAAAACGTCAAACCCCAACGTCGAAAGTTTTAACTGTGGTAATCCTGTCTCAAGCTAGCATATTTATTCTATACATTTATTGCCTTGTATATGATCTGTGGTATCTGTGTTAATCCTATATTCTATGCTATTTTATTTTTTGTCCCAAAGGTGAGGGAAGAGACGGCAAATTTCTAATTATACATGATTGCGATCGCGTTTTGAAGAAAATTCTAATAACGGTATGCCTGCTCTGCATAACTGCAAAACCACGTTCGAGAGTAAAGAATGTAGGGCGCAAATTTCGACAACAGATTATTTGTTTTGGTGATGACGTAATAAAAGAGCGTTATAAACTATTTTGAAAATAAAACAACTCATTTTCAAAAAGCGAATAAGTTAAAAGTTAAAATTAATTTTTTGCTTGCTCCCCGCTATCGGAAAAATACCTATTGTTTTTTTTTCGGGTTTAGCGGATACGTATATAAGTCACTCCCCCCCCCGTAATTTTAGCGTTAGAAAAAGCTTGAAAAATTCTCGGCTTACACACGGAAATATATGGTAATAATTTATATTATTGTATATTTCCTTTTCAAAGCAGTCATATTTATAAATTGCTTAACAATAAGTAGAGCAAACATATTAAACTTAAGTATACTATTTTTGTTTAGACCTTTGGATAAAGACAGATTTATGGCACCTGATATTGATGCTGTTACTGAGCTTTTGCGTGAGGAAAAAATCTGGAATGCCGTAAAGCCTCACATGGATCGCTATTTCATGGAACAAGGTGTGGAGACTAGGCCTTCTTCACCCACCACGAGTAGCACCTCAAAGAAACGACGACGTGCCAGCACAAATTCCAACGGATACGCAGTGGAGAATTACATCATCCATGCTTTCGAAAATGATGATGAACTGAATCACAAATTACCTCTTAAAATGCAACGACCATTGTATGTTGTTGAGGAACAATAATATGTTAATGAATAATCTTACTTTCATAGGTCTTATTTTCATATGGTTTTATACCATTATTTAGATACGTTTTTTAAAATTTTGTAAAATCATAGCAAATTTTGAATTATTATTATAAAAGAGAACAGGACTGAAAAAGCAAAATCCTCAAAGCAAAAATTATCTTCAATTAACCTTTAATTGTCAAATATGCTTACAAAATGAAGTATGCTGAATTTCCTTTCCTGATGACTCAAAAATGCTTATCTAAATTAAACTGCGAATACGAGAAAAATTGTATTTCTGAATTAAACATTTTAAAATTAAACTTTAAACTGTGCTTTTCCCCCCTCAGAAATAATTCTACCATTAAAATTATGCACAAAGCTTTTAAAGAAAGTAAGGAACTAACTAGTGAATTTTGTTTTCTTTTAGGACCTGAAATTGTTTAATACGTATATTTCACCAGCTCTCTTTAAAATTCTGAAAATTATTCTCATTTACAAGGCTCATGCAAAATATTAAATAATTAGTAATATAGGCTTCCCTCCCCCCAAAAAAAGAATTCTTCTTATAGCAGGAATGGGCAAAATAAATTCCACCTTTAAAATAATGTAATTGTTTTAATCATTCAAAATTAGACGAATTCAACTTTAGATTGATTTGATTTTGTAAAAAACTCACGGGACTTTTGACGATGACGGATTCGTTTTCATCTTCAAAAACAAAATTTATAATATGAAATTAAGGATTTGTCATATCATCTATGAATACATTTTTTTATTTTTACTTTTTAAAATGTCAAATTATGCATTAAAAGTTTTGTTTTACTCTTTTCAAGCTTTTAACAGTGATTTACCAGATATTAAAAAAATAATTTGTATTTGTGAAACATTTTGAAAATCACGTACTACTTACAATAGGTTTAATTCTTATCCGATACCTACGTCTACAAGAATTACTTACTCAAATAAAAGATAGGTTAAATTATTTCGGGATTTTGATATTTGTTTATTGTATCTTCTTGTTATATGCTTTAGTACTTTCATACTATTAGAGTCTTGACACACTTCTTTATTATTTATTATGTATTTAGTATGTGCTGTATTTAGTAAGTGCTATTAATTTTTGAAGAACTCTGAGGCAGAAACTGATTGAGGTGACAAAAAAGTATTAAGTGATGCTTGATGGATGTACTTTTCCAGGCAGCAAACTTTAAACAAAAAGTTACTTTGTGCTCTTATACTTAGCATATTTTATCTTTTTATTTCTTTCCTTTTTTAACATTGCTTTCTTCAGCATACGTGTAACATTTCAAATAAATTTCTGTAACTATTTGACTGCCCACAAATATTCATTACGAATTTTGTTATTATTCATTCTTCCATCACTGAATTGTCACATTAACAAGTTATTTATGCTTATTTTTATTTCGAAATTTTATAATTTCGATCTATAGCTTTTTATCTATATTTCTATCTGTCAGCTCTCGAATTTTGCCTAAACTTGAGAGCTTTGTTGAATCATTGCTTCAAACAACTAAACTAATTTCTAATTCAAAAAAGTAAATAAAAAACCAGTAGATAATGATGCAAATTTTAAAAGCAAACATGAATTTAAATTTACTGAGATACTAGCTGAGGCTGTAACCTTCTGTTTAGTGTCATACTTCTAGAAATAATTCAGCATTCCGTGCTGAGTGTTTGTCTTTGTTAAATATTGAAATAATTATAACATTTTTACTCTTCCTTAAATTTTAAAAATACTGGGAGAACCGCAAATAAAGAAAACCTGAGGTGTTACTCAAACAACTTATATTTTTAAAAATAATGCTAAAAAAGTTCTAGACTTTTAAATGTCAGAATTTGAGATGTTAGTTAGGTATTTCTTTTACTTTTCATTGGTATGTTCTTAATAAATATAGGCATATTTAAAACAAAGTAATATTAAATTTGTTTTTCATGAAACGCTGATTTCAGATTAATGTTATAATTAAAAAAATGTGACATTAAGTGAAGTTTTTTTGTTACAATTATTCTCATATGAAGGATTCGAGAGATTCGAGATCCTCTCTGAGATTCGAATTGTAATTTTAGAAGATTTAGGATTCATCCGCTTTTAATAGAAGCTTATTTTAGACGCAAAATTATTTAAAAATAAACTATTTTCTGTTAATGAAAAGAGCAATGGAATTTAATAATATAATTTATAATTAAGTAAAATTACTTTTGGCACAATGTATTAAAAACGGGTTTTAAAACATATATAATATTTTGAAAACATTATTTTTACATAATGTGCATTTTATGAGTTAATATCAAAATTATCAGCAAAAGTTTTAAAGATTTTTATGTCTCATGCTGCCAAGTGTACTTCTCCATATATTTAAAGTTTATCTATGATTTCATATGTTTTAAGATGATTGATTATGTTTTCATTCATGATGTAATTTATACTTTCATAAGTATATTGAAGATTCGTTATATGTGTTATGTACAATGTCATATTCCAGTGTGTCACACTTTGTTGATCATTGTAAATAACATACTGGATTGTAAGTTTTGACTTTATAATAAAATCAGTTAAATTTATGTGTTTTTTTATCTTAATTTCTAATTACTGATCTTTTAATAAAAATATGAAAAAAAATTTTTTTAGAATTTATTTTTTATTACAAATACTTATTTATAATCTATGAAAAAAAAACAGAAAAAAAATGATTAAAAAAGCATATTTTTATTCAAGTCTATGTTGTTTAGAAATTTTTGAAGGCTTTACGATGACCCCCCCCCCCGTAAAAAGGTCATTTTTACGGATCAGATGGTCAAAAAAAATATTCTTTTTCTTAAAGAAGTAAACTGACCATTTATTTACTATATTTACTATATTTTCTATATTTTCTTTGAATTTACAATATTTTCTTTCAATCTGTTACATGTTATTTTAATTAACCCAAATATTTTGTTATTTTGATTCCTATGACTTTCATCAGCTTCAACCATAATGCAAAGAGGTTTCTTATTTTAAACATTATCAGATAACTTACGTTGGCTTATACTCTACGTTAGATTTTTTGCTGTGGCAAATTAACGTGCCTCGAATTCTTTACCAGTGTTTTTCAAGAAAAATGTCTGTTTATTCAAGAGAAACCAATGCTTATACCGGGTTTTTGATAAGCTTATATTCTATACTTGGCTTTATGTGAGTTTGTGTTAAACACTAGTTCGCTACCAACAGAACGGAGTTCTATTCCTGTTACTTTTTCAGTTTGTTTAATCAGTTTGTTTAATGACATCTGGTCGAGGTGCTAATTAAAACTTTTAATTAAGCTTTTACTTTATTCATAATATTTCTTAATTAAGAACTAGGACTGAATAAAGGATCGTTCAGCAGTACCTTATGGATAATTTGATATTTTAACGTTACTAGGCGTAACTCAATGTTCCTCAAATTGTGGTTCGCAGACCACTAGTCCTCGAAACCTAACCTTTTGGTTGTCCCAGATTAAAAAAAAAAAATGTCATGTTATTTGCAAACGGAGTTAGCAAGATTTTACATCATTTCTTGCTGATGACATTTCGCCAAGTACATTAGAATATCTTTCAGATCTATTCCCTAAATGAATTAAATTAAATATCTGTCTACAAAGTAAATTTTTAACTGTTTATATTGTCTATGAGAAAATAAAAGGTTTTGAGAGGAAACTTGATGTTGAGTTAGTTGAATAAAATAGAGAAAGGTTTTCGTTACTTTCAATGTCAGAATCGTTTTCTTGGAAAATATCATTACCGAAAAAAATTAATGCAATAACATATGTTTAAATATTGAAAATGATGTCACAGTTTGAAATTTATTTAGTAGAAATATAGCGAACTTTATGTTCGTGATTCTTTTCGTTGAGATCTTAAAAACAATAAGTAGTCATTGAATGAAAGAAACGGTTTTTCTGATGACCGATTTTTCTAATGACACAGGGAAAATAAACTAAAAAACTTCAGGCTCAAAGCATTTTTAATTTAACCTCATTATCAGTGCAGACGGAATATAGAGAACTGTACAATGGTTCTTTAATAATTATAATTCAGTTGCTCCTAAGTATCTGTGCAAGGAAGGGGTTTTTACTATTAACGCAAATAAACACGAAACAGCGAAATAGATTAGGTGTATGCGTCAGTTTCAGACTTAAGCTTATCAACATGCATAGATCAAGTTGCCCAAGAATCGCAAGCTAATGTGAATCTCGTTAACGTGAGCGCAACATTATTTAATTTTAAGATAACAGGATAAAGGTTATCCAAACAGCTTTGGATTATTAAAAATAAATATAATATTTCTTTTGATAACTTAATAGGTCAATATCAACGTACACTAAAATGAATATTAATGAAGTGTGTTTTAAAAATATGAGTATACTGGTAGTAACTTACGCTAAAACACTGATTTCGAAAAGACCAAGAATAAGACGGTCCGCAGAAAATTTTAATTCGCAAAAGTGACCCCTACTTGAGAAAGGTTTCAAAAATGCTAAGTACATAGATCTCTAATCATAAATTATCTGCATGTCGGATCAGATTTACTCATATAAATGTATCCTATAATTAAAAAAACTGAACTCTTCATTCAGTTGGTTAAACGATAAATATTATTTTACTTTTCATTAGAATTATTAATTAAACTCTTTTTTCATCTAAGAAAGCTGATGTTTGCGTACATTAAAAATATCTCTGGATTATTCATTAAAAAATAAAATGTTAATAATTAAAGGTTCGGCAAAATGTTCAACATGTGAAAGGAATTCCTAAAGTTGGCGAAGTTAAAAAACCGCTACATTAGGAAATTAGTACGGCTATAAGAAATTTTCTTTTTAAACATTTCATATTTTTTTATGCATTTCAGATTTTTTTGGAACTGAATTCTGAACTCCACGATAAAAACAAATTTCGAAATATTGGTTTTGGTCGCAAAGCCTCTCTTTATTCGAAATTAGCCTAATTTAGTCAAACTTCTCAGTGACCGCAACTTCAAGCATCCGCGTAGTGCCGACAGCAACACCAAAGAAAAACAATGTATTCGAAGGAAATGCGAAGAGTGACTGACCATCACGCCAAGATGGCGAGCACACCGGAATTCACGCAAACAATATTTTGGAGTCGATTCCTCGAATTGATAAAAATTAGTGACATAAAGAAAGAATACTATCTCACCGGATACTGCGGCCAGATAGATACGATACAGTTACTACTCGTCTCAGAAACCACGAGTTCATCATCCAAGCAGTTTTCGTTGTTTTTTCTTTATCCGGTTTTGGTTCGCGTGCATCGCATCATACCGAAGATATTGCTGGTGGAACTAATTTGTGCCACTGTATTCAAAACACAACTCGCCGCATTTTGAAGACAAAGCTTCTTCTCTGACGCTGAATTTCACCCCTCGCCTTATTGTTCTCTTATTTCATTCGAGCTAGTTTACCAAAGAGAAGAGTCAACACATATTTCTTAAGTAATTATTTTTGACTAATCTAATCATTTAATACCTCATTTGAGTTGAAAGCATCAAATTTGTAAGATAAAGAAATACAGATATACATATTTAAATGGTATTTTGCGGCGTATGGTGCATATATGAATCTCACTGAGAAATCCCAAGTGCTTTCGAACAGACCATCTACAGAGACATGCCTTTTCGCAGCTATTTGTTGCATTATTTTTATCATTGTTGGATGCATCGGAAATTCTATGACTATCTTGGCTTTGGTGAAGTGTCGTAGGCTTCAAAATGCGACAACAGCATTTGTTGTGAGCTTAGCTGTATCAGATTTTCTTTTCTGTGTAGTGTGTCTTCCCCTTACAGCCACGCGGTATATTTACGAAGAATGGATTCTTGGTGAAGAGTTGTGCAAATTGTTTCCGTTCTTCTTTTACGGAAATGTAGCCGCATCTCTAATGTCTATGACAGCAATAACTTTCAACAGGTAATTACTTTTCTATTGGTAAAATCGGTGTGTTAATAAAACACATATGAATTATATTTTATTATCTTATATATCTGTAATTAACGCATTACTTAAAAGTATAAAAGTATTCCATTAACAGCTTTAGCTCTCCTTTCATAATTCTTAGTAGTAAAAAGTACATTAGGAAACATATCTTACCACCAAAATGTCTTACTACAGAAATTGCATTTAGCCTGTCATAAGTTTTAAACATTTTTTACTTAGTAATTTAACATATGTATGTTGCCATAATGTATGAAAAGCCGATATTCTATATAATACCTGACGTTTTTAGATAAAGTATGAAATGCGAGATTATATACTTTCCCTACGTTATATATAATACCTAGGCATTCTAAAGAACGCCAAGTTTTAGAAAGTTTAGGAAAAGTACGAAAAAAGGTCATGATAAAGCTATTATTTGAATGAGAAAGATTCATCAAAAATACAAATTTACTTTGAAAAATACTGAAAAAGTGCCTTTAAGAAACTTTTATTTAAAATACTCAGATAAAAATGAAAGTTGAACAAAACAAGGTTTATGTCTTTCTTTTTAAATAAAACAATGTATGAAATGAATGGAATTACGGAATGAATGTACTAAACTTGTGAATATTCGAGAAGAATTGGACATGGAATTCGTACTTTCCCGGGCTGTCATTTGGAATTTTATAGAATGCCTAGGAAATGTTTGAAATATTAATCGTTTCATACATTGCCGGCCGCTTTTTGGCAATCTATAAAATGCCTAGGTATTTTATAAAATTCAGATTTCATACATTGCTGGTAGCATATATTATATATATGTATTGTATTGTGACTTATCTCACTTGTCTGACAGTAACATCAGAACAAGCCCACGAAATTCATCGTGGCAAGGAGAGCAAGACTGCGCCTGTCGTTGGCAAGAGTCCTGAGCACCATGCAGGCGAAAGTACGACTTTAAGCAGTCCGCTCCCAATTTTGATGGACAGTACCCCGGAGAGAGACGAAACCGGGGGTTTCCCACCCCTTTTCCCTACCAACAGCCTCTTGAGAGAACTTTCGGCTCGCCGCACATTTAGAGTGCCCCCATGCCGCACGGACACTATACATTTACAAACAACCATGGCTTCTCTGGGATTTGAACCCAGGCCCTTCGGCACCGCAGTAAGCTTCTCCAACCACTACACCGCCCGTGCGGTTCCTATTACATATATATTTCGAATAAACATATTTCTTAGAAAGGAACTGTTAGAAGAATGATTAGCTAAAGATTAATTTTATTTATGCATCAGATAATTAATATTTTTAAGATAGTTTGGAATTTTTGTATCAGCAAAATACTTCAGAAAATAATAATTATAGTCATTTCACGGTTAAAATCTTACAGCGATTAACTGAGAAATGATTCTTAATCAAGACTTTACTATTTTGTGTGACTTCTGTTCATTGTGAGAACCAGAAAAAATTTAGTAACGATGTAATATGTGATGTACCGCCTTTAGTTATTTATTTATTTTTTGGATGGCGCCACCAAAAAGCTATTTTTAAGTATGAAAATGTAACAAAAAAATAAATAAATATGTAATTACTGTAAAGGTACGAAATAAATAAAGTAAAAAATCTGAAGGGGTTCAAATTTTAATGGGGCTATTTTAAACTTTAATAGGGTTTATGAATAGAGATTATAGGTAGAGAGGGCGCAGGTGGAAGCTCTGTATATTTGAAAAGTGAAAAATATATAACTTGATTCTATAAAAATATATAATGTTTTTAATTTAGATACATCATGAATACAATGTATTTATATTTAAACCAAACCGATTCTAAAGTTAAAAAGAAGTGTTAGCAAGAACAGCATCTATTGCTTTTGAATTGCCGAACTCGTTAATTAATAATAGACTAATTAAATATGAAAAACAGATGAATATCTTATATTTTGCCGTATTGCAGCAGAGTCAAATGAAAAGTGAATCACTGTAAATCGTGTTTCGAGAAGTGTAATGAAATGGCAGGAAAAAGAAATAGTTAAAACCACAATCAGTTCTGAACAATGTCTAAATTTTTATTAATTATGTAATAGTCTGGTGATTTTTTAGTACACAAAATTAATTAAAATTATAAATGATCAGTCAATTAAGAAATCCATATTTAACTAACTAATGTTTGAGTAAGCAATAAAATAGAGAATAAAAAATCACTATATTCTTCCAATCAAAAGTTTTGCTTTTGAAATGAGTATGCATTTACAAAGCTCATTTATGGCGAAAACTTTTTATTCAGCTATCTGAAAATATGTCTTAAAATTTTGAAATTACTAGCTAATCATCTGTCATCGGAAATATAAGAAAAAAGTAAAAATTTAAGATACTTAAAGAAAGTGACTGTTTTAAGAGTAGATTTTGAAAATATATTGAATTTTCTAAATTTTATGTAGATGAGAGATTATTATTTAAAAAGATATAAAAATCCTACATATTAAAATATGAAAAAATATAATATGATCCTTTAGAATTAAATTTGATAATTAGCCTGGATTCGCCTTCTAGACCCTTACTTGCCACATTTATGTGTGGCTTGATTTTACATTAGGTGAATAAAAATTTAAATCCATACAGTGTTAAATGTGAAAACTGATTAAAAACCTTTTTTTTAATAATTAGAAGGGTGTATTCGCCCATGCGAACGATATGTAAATGAAAGAGACGGATGGATTTATTGGATTATGCAAAATACATTAGGGCTCCTTGCCTAAAAGAAGAGAGACCTTCGTGGACGAATGTAAACTGACTTGTACTTATCTTGCACATGACAGAACTGACGAAAATGACATTTGGTGGGATATGAGCCCGGAAGGAACTATGAGTATAGTAAATCTTCGAACGCGGATTTCAGGAATGCGATTTTGAGGATGCGCATTATCTTAATCGTCTTCATTAAATATGCCAATCACGAGAATCTCAGTTGTACGGAATACGCTGCAAAGGATCGACCGCCCAGACCTTGCTTAAAACAGCAAAACCTGAGCTTTTGAGCTTAGAAGTTCTAATTTTCGATTATGTTCTAAAACACGGACTGAAGCCCTTACAGCATTGTATCTAAATGTAAAGATTTTGTTACTTTCACCGAACACCACTTCTGTAATCCAACAAATGGATGAAGGAATCATAAAATCATTCAAAGCTTATTATGTCAAGCATATTTACATCTTTGAAAATAAAGCATTAGATAAAGGAAAGCACATCACATGCAGTGTAACATAAGACGTTGCATAAAAAGGATTAAATTCGCATGGGAACAAATGAATTTATCAACAATGAATATTTGCCGGGATCGGCGCTAACCAGAAGTTGTCAATAGTTTTAAAGGATTTCCATAGACTGAAAATGAAGCCAAGGCACCCCACAAATTGCAAAAGCAATAGGCGACGAAGAATTTTCAGATATGGAAGAACTAACAGTTGAATTAGTCGAGAATAAGATCGTGAAAAGACAAATGAAGAATTGGATGATCTTAAGTGAGAGCAGTGATAGTGAAGAGCACAAAGACCCTTTAACGTACAAGAAATTAAACGAATTATTACAAGAGGTACAGGCATTGTCTGCATGTATAATGGGTATCGACGCATGGAAGAAATAAGAGGATATATTCTGAGAGGTACTAAAAAATTTTACACTGCTTACCACGAAACGTTTAATGAGTTACATCTACACTGATCCAAGCAAAAATCACCTGCTATTTAAAAAAAGAATTGTACCATAAACTACATATTTGCTGTAACAGAAATTCTTTCAATATACATTTGTTTCGTTTTTCCCCTTTTAATTACGATAACATATAGGTTTATATAAATTATACATGCTTTTTAAATTTGAACTATATTTAGGCCGTTTTTTTCATAAAAAGAAAAAAAAAGAAAAAGTTTTTTTCATAAAAAACTTTATGGAACGTGATTTAGCTGTACTCGCAATTTGGTAATGAAGTGACTCGCATTCGGCAAGGGTTTAGTGTAGTTGAGGGTTTAAATTAATTTACTATGCCACTTGTGGGCATAAAAAAGTCATAAATTGATTTTTTTTATAACGAAAATATTTATTCATGCCTACTGATAATATGAAAACTAAATAGGACTTGTAAGGACTTTAGATTCCTCGAAGAAAATTTGCCTAAAATACGAAGCAATAAGAAGTAATATAAATATTTCGCTTCTTTTTTAAAGCAAAAATGATGTCCCTGATAAAAAATTCAGTTTTTGAATTATTGGATGTAACATATTCTTGTTTGTCCTGTTTTCTTGAATAGAAGCAAGATCTTGAATTAGCCGTGTTGCTATTAGTGACACTGACGACGCAAGTCTCTTTTAGAGTAGTAACCTTTTTTGACTAAAGCATCTACGCGAATAAGCTCTTATGGAAGTCTTTTAAGCTGACAGTTTTCATTCAGTATCAAATATCAAATACTAGAAAAGTATTTTTAGAGTTCGAAAATTCTTTCAGCATCCCAGTGGTAACAAGCACTTTTTACTTTAGAGACATACTCTGTTAAGAAGAATAATTTTGGTCTTCTGAAAAACAGAAACTTAAGCGGAATTCAGTTAAAAAATCAAAGCCAGTTACTAAGCTACAGTCTGTTACTTTATAACAGGCATTAAAAGCCATTGCTAGACCCTCCCCTTCCTCGCCACTTGCGATTTAACTCGTGTCGTCTTCACTGCTTAGCACTTTATTTTGTCCACCTGATTTGAGACTACAGTTTAGTCAGTTATCATTCACATTCTTTTCACGAAGCAAAACATGCTAAACAGAAACGGAAAGAGGTTGGGGGAATTAAAAGACTTTACCTTTTTCCTCCGGTTCGCATGGTTGCGACTCGAATCGGGTAGCGGAAAAAATATTGAAGTTCCTACTTTAAAATAATAGATCCTAGGTACAGAGGTTTCTCAATTGCTCCCGAAAGGACACGGTTTTGCTTTTATGACGAAAAAACAGTATTAGGTA